ATGGGACGAGCCGAGCCAAGCCGAACTATTGTAATTGTCAAATTTTCACTCATTGTTCCCTCGTTGTCAACCTTTGCTAGCGTCCTTTTGAGCATGTCTACGAACCTCTCTGTTAACGCTTTGACCTGGAGTCTGCGTGATATGCTGGAGTCTGCGTGTGTCTGATTCCGCATTTGCTTGCAAAACTCCTCGAATTCCACACTGGTGAACTGCGTCCTATTGTCTGGTACTAACATATCCGGCTTACTAAACTTCCGAAAATTCGTCGCAGTAATTTTAGTGTTTTATTTCGGCAGAACTAACTGTATGTTTTGTCATAGCGACTTCTGACCATTTCGACAGCGCATCTACCACTTTCAAAAAATATTGTCCCTTCACTGGCCCAGCATAATCAACATGCATGTGCGAAAATTGCTCTTTTGGTTCTGGCCAAGCCGCCAATTCTGTCTGACCGATAATTTTGCTGTCATCGTTACATTGATGTACCACATTCTGTGCCATTCGGTCCATCCTTGGCTAATACACATATGTTCTGTCCAGCGATTTCATTCAGTTCATCCCCAGACGTTCTGCATGTAATTGCTTCAGAATCAAGCGCTGTAATCGCTATGGCACTAGTGCTCGGTCTTATACATCCGTTTGTGATCGATAAAGCTCCTCTTCTGCTATAGAATTGTTATAACTCAAAGTCATTAATTTACTTCGGTCATCCTTCTTTTCACAAGCGCTAGTCTTTTATTAAGCTTGGTTTTTCGTTTCTGGGCTCTTGAATTCGCTGGTAAGCCTTAAACAGTTACAGTTAAATCATTCCGAACATCTGCTTCTACTGAAATGGGCGCCATAAGCCTTTGTTCTTCATCTGCCGAACTCTCATTATGCGTTTTGCTTATATGCAAATTGCAAAACGCATATTGCGACGAACCTATTTTTGTATGTATAGTATATTTGTGTGTGCATATGTGTTCGCCCGTCGGGGTATTTCAACTTGACAACCAAGCAAGTTCCAGGGCCATGATTTTGCTAGTAGGTTTACCGGCCAAGTGCACTACAGGGCCTCGGTACCCGCCCTCACGCTATTCTGGGTGCCGCGTTCGAATGTGTGAAAGTTTTGCAAGGAAATTTGATAACTCGGGAACGGGAAAAGGTAGAAAGCTGAAATTTCTAGGTTATGATCCCCATTTACGTATAACTCAAAGACTTCAAATTCAGCACCTAGGTGTACGTGGCTCCCCGTACAGGCCCGTGAAATTTTTTGGTAAAAAAGTGGCTAACTCGGAAACTAGCAAAGCTGGAAGGCTCAAAATTTTCAGAGAATTTTCCCAGCTCATATACAACCTGAAATTATCAATTTCATCCCCCAGGCATGCGCGGTTCTCCTGTATGGCTCGTGAAACTTTTTTGGCGGGAAAATGGCTAGCTGGGAAACCAAGAAGTCTGGGAGGCTGAAGTTTTTAGGGAATGGTGGGAATATACGTACAACATAATCTTATCGAATTCGGTCCCTCGGTGTGCGTGTTTCTCAAGTATAGCCCCGTGAAAATTTTTGACAGGAAAGTGGCTAATTCGGCAATTGGCAAAGCTGGAAAACCGAAATTTTAATGGGATATTCCCTGTTTATGTACCGCATAATAATTAACTTCCCGAACTTCGAGCACCAGTGTTTCACACATTCTAGCTACAGGGTTTCCGAGCGGCCTCATTACAGCACGAATTCCTGCAAACACGCATGAACGCACGGACCCGCTCGGTGCGCGTCGCCAACGATTTATTGGTTTGGTTGGGGGTAGGGAGGCAAGGCGACAACACCGCCTTTACAAATGCAATGGTGCATGCTGTGACGTATCATGGTGTGTGTATATTTTTTGGTATGTGTGTGTGAGCGTCTTTTCAGGCATTTCAGCTCCGCAATTAGACAAGCTTCAGCGCCGAGGCCTGCCGAATTTCTGCCAGTGGGATCTCTGAACAAGTTCTACCACGGAACCGTGGGGTTAACCTTCACGTATGTTTGACCCTCGTCTGCGAGTACACAAAAGATCTGGCGAAAAAAACTGCTAATTCGGAAACCAGAGTAAATGTTTTTGAGAGACGGTTGTGAGGTATTACGGGGTCATTGTGACTAAGCGAGATGAAGCGCGAAGCGTGGTTTTTATTATAATACATTTATCTAGACTGACGTAGAAAAACAAGCAGGCTGAACAACATACAATTAAAAAGACCTGATCGACGACCGGTAGAATTGGTGGGAAGACGAATTTGTTTTGGCTATTGAGTCAAATGTACAGGAGAGCGTTTCGGATCGAAGTCCCCGAGCTGCTTCTGTTGAATTCCAACAAAGACCCAGAGTGAAGATGACCAGGGGTTATATAGGGGAGATTGGTCCTGCCTCTGTGAGGAGATGTCCCGCCATGTTTACCCCCTTTGTGTCCGGCTTAATAGCTGGGTAACAAAAACACATCAATCACTTTACAAAAGCGCATTCAGCTCTGACTTTGTGTTTGTACAAAATCCCACTGGGGGTGTAGGGTTCGGTTACGGTATGGATGGGAAAAAGAATAAGTGAAAACAAAACGGGAATTTGAAATATGGTTTTATTATTTAAGAGGCTAAAAACGAATGAATAATATTTACAATTCCTTTTGCCAGCGAGACCGTCTCTCGTCTCATATAAGTTTTATTAATTTGTTATTATTTTATGAGTAAACAAGCGGAAAAGATTTTGATCAACTAGGGCGTAGCCCCAAGTGCAAGTCAGGAGTTTTATTACCACAGCAAGGATCTACGCCTTGTGCTCGCACAAGGCAAGACTTTTGGGGATAAGCAGCATTTGTTGGTCAAAAATTTAATTTTTGAGTATTTTTTTGTATCATATTATTGATTGTTTCGGATTATATAATTTATTATTGCAAGATACAGAGCGGAAGAA